ATCTTCATTTTCTTATTTTTTTAATTGAATTCAATTTATGTTAAATTGAGATACATAAAATAGAAAGTCACTATAAATTTTCACACAAGTATTTTACTTTAATAATGCTTAAACTTGGTTAAATTTTATTTATTAATTTGGTCTAATTAAATTTGGAGTTTACAATATTTAAGAGGAAATTATATAATAAATTCTATTATTTATTTATAATAATGTTAGTCTATTAGTGGAGATTATTTAATCTAAATATATGAGATCTGTGATATTGAAAATTTAAATAAATTTAATGGATATTAATAATGCTACAGTAATTGTTAATTAGAATGATAAGAAGATATATTAATTTATTATGTAAAATGTATTAAAGATTGAAATTTAATAGATTGAAAATATGAATCAATATGCGGTGATTAATAAGTTGCAATAAAGTAAAATATATAATGTGATCTCCTTAAAGATTATAAATGCATTAACTATTAATATAAATGTGAAGATTATTGTTATATTTTTCAATCAAACTATCTTTGTGTTCTTTGTTCATATTCATATTAATTTCTTGATGGTATATTTTATTCATTTCATTTTTTAAATATCTTATACATACTAATCAGTTTTTGGATAAAAATTGGTTTCAGAATTCTTCATTTTTTAAATTACAAATTAATAATCCAATAATTTAGTTTACTATATTTTAAAAAAAAAGTATTTCAAATGAAGATTTTTTTTATTAGAGATAACAAAATAATAAGTAATTCAGATTACTAAAATGAATGATGCCATGATTTATTCAATTAATTCTATTCAAAAGGGATGCCATTTTTTTTCTCAATATGTTAGATATATTGAAATATTAATTCCCTCCTCATTTATAATAATTTCTCGATATTTTAACCAAAGTTTCTCTAAACCCTAAATTGGAGTATTTTATAAGTAGATTAACTATTAACCATATTAAATGAAAGTTTCCTTCAATATTAAAAATGGACTAATCTAACTAATACTAAAAAGATGAATACTTAAAATTAATGAATGCAAAAAGTTGTTATTTATTTTAGGTCGCTTCATTAATTAATTATTCCGTTAGTATTTATAAGTAATATATCGGATAACAGATATCAACACCAATTAATTCAAAAAACTATTGTGATATAAATATTTTATATCATTTAATAAATTTTAGAAGGATTTAGTGCTTTTTATAATTTTAAGAGTACTCATCAAATTCTATATTTGAAATTGCTAATTGAATTATATTAATTAAAAATATTTCTTTTAAATCATTTATCATTACATCAGCATTAAAAGGAACTATTTTTTGGATAATGGGAGAATTCTCTTTCGTCAATGAACTTTTTATATTTTTAGATTTATAGGATTTAATTTATACATTTCAAATATAATCTATATCATCATAAATTTTTTATCTCTGCTATTTACTTAATTAAATTTAGGACTCTAAAGTCTAAATATGATTAAATGAAACTTATTATAAAGGAAGTTTAATTTGAATTATATTGAAACTTTCTGGTCTATAGTTACCATTTGGATAATAATTAATTTTTACTATTTGGATTTGTACAATTAGGAACGTTTTCATCAATGTTAGCCACCTAACTTTAATAAAATATAAATGACTTTCAAAAATAATATTAAAAGAAAAACTAGAAGATAATAACATGAATTTTATCTTCTACTTTAAAATGTCTATTATTAGAAAATAGTAATTATAATAATGAATTCATATCAATTTATTATACTCAACATCTTAAATTAATCATTCTTAGATTCATTTTATCAAGATATTAGTTTAAATATTTTATGCATAACAAGATTATAAATATACTATAATAATAATAATAATATAAACACTAACTTTAATTCTTATAATTTAATCTTCTCCAATATGCTTTATTTTTCTGTATTTTATGTTTATTTATTATAAATATTTCTCTCTCTAAACTTAATACTTACTATTTTACTATAAAATGGATTATTTTTTATTATGCATATTTCATACATTGGTCTTAAAATAACATTGATACTGAGATATTATGTTCACCAATTGCAACATGTAAATTAGAAGAATATAAATGATTATTTTTATTTTTTGTATAGCAATTTCTT